CTGTGCAGCGGTGACCCCTGCCCGGGTGTCTAGGGACACAATTTTGACCATAGATTTTTCTGCTCATGTAGTAATACATACAGGCTCAAAGTGTGAAGCCCCCTTTTGTCTGAGGCCCAAAAGAGTCCATTTTTAACTTTTAAGGGGATATTCTGGGAAAAAGAAAAGAAAAAAAAAAGAACAGAACCAAAGCATGTTTTTCTCCATTACCATAAAGAGTGCTTGTGAATGCATGGTATTAGTATCCCAAAAGCTATTAAACTCCTTAGTGATGGGAAACAGATGGAAAATAAGACAAAAGAATTCACAACTCATGTTAGACTGAATTGAATTCCTTTAATTTCACACAATGAATAACATATGAATAGGATTAACTTTTTTTTTTCTTTTTTTTTTTTAGTTAAGTGCTCTATACTGTGCTAACCTGATTTGGTAGCGAAAAGACTGAGCTTTGTTTTAGAAAAAAATGTTTAAAAACCAACATCTAAGATCATGAAGGAGCATGACATTAAAGCATGCCAGATGTATCTAAGCCTCAAAGAACATCAAGTCCATATCCATTTTTAAATGTACAAAAATGCTTCATGAATAAAAACTGTTACAAAAAGAACATTTCAAACAATGTACAAGTTTTTTTTCTTGCCTCTATATTCAATAAAATACAAATACATTTTTTTGCTCTAAAATATGTTTACATACAATCAAAGTAGAACATGCAAATTACACTTTAAAAAAGGCTTTTAAAAACCACTTATGAATACAAACTAAAAATTAGCCAGCACGACTTATAGAACAATCTTGTGCCCCATTCGTTTGATTTTTTTTAATTTTTTTGAAATACAGTATATACATATTTAACACTTCATGTGCATTTATTATTTAAGAAATAGCTTAAAAAAATAAAGAAAAAGAAAAGTAAAACAAACCAACATGGGATTGAACTGCTTCCCCATGTTGTCCAATTGGCAGCTCTTTTCATGTTTTTATATTTTTTTTTCTTTTTCTTTTTTTCTACGTAGTGTTTTATACAACCTAGGCAGGCATCTTAAGGAGATCTCAAATATGTGTCCTTTGTTGAAATGTGCTTCTAATTGTCTCAGAACTGCTGCACCCCAGTTTTTGGATGATATGGAAGGAAGAGGCATTGCAAGGGCATGATGTTTTCTTAATCCAGAAAACCATCCTGTTTCTTTCTTTTTTTTTTCTTTTCTTTTTTTTTCTTTTTTTTTTTTTCTTTTTTTCCCAGGATACTACTTAAGTGTGCTTAAGTGCAGTCCTGAAGCAGGGCCTGTGAAAATAAGAGTTGGGGGAATCCTCGTGGATGGAACGACAGTTACCGTTCATTGGCTGTATTGCTGTAGTGCTTAGAAGCCCAGTGATGCACCAGCACCTCAGTGTACCAGACGCTAGCCAAACAGTGTGACAATACAAACACAATATTCTACACGAATGGTACAAAGCATTGCTGTAAAACGGAGAGTCATGGGCCATGCTGTAGGATACCCTAGTAGCCAATCGTTATTATCCCTTGCATTTTTTTTTTTTTTTCCTGACGGTCACCCGAAAACATGCAAGGTGCTTCACAGAAAAATTAATGATTAAGGGCTCAAGAAACTGGCAGTAGGAAGCTATTGGAGATACAAGTGTTTTATCGTTTTTTCTCCTCTCTTTCCACACACTTGTCCCCTTTCCTTGTTTTATGCTGGGCTGAAGAATGTAAGACCCACAGAGAGGATGCAAACCTATGGCCTCATTTCAGACGGCTGGGAGTCACGTGATTTTGTTTTTATGAAGAATGCTAAGACGTGCGTTAATCCGTGTCATGCCAGAGATGTTTGAAAGGTCTTTTTGGTCTTAATAAGCAAAGAGGGCTTTCACCCTGTTTTTTTTTTACAGTTCTTGGAAATGTATGGAGAGAATTTAGAGAGTTCCTCAGTAAATCTTCCTAGTAGTAGGGGGGAAAAAAAAATCAAAAAAGCTCATTACTGGAATATTGTTGGGTAATAAACTGCAGGAGTGGGATTTTAGCCCTAAGCCCTAAAACTAAATCCTTTATGATCTGCATGTAGTACATCGCCTTATAATATTATTCTGTCAGCAACTTGCTTATCATATTTATAGACTAGGCAACATGCAGAACACAAATTCTGAGTGCCATCTAACAGTATTTTCAGCCTGCTTTCATACAAATTAACAAGCTAATCTTGCTGTCAGCCAGAACGAGCTGCGCCGCGCCGTCCTTTGGACGAGCAGCCAGCGCCGCGCCGCAGCATCCCTGCTTCCTGGCACGCTCCTTTGCAAGCGCTCGCTATGGCGAGCCGCCCGGCTCGCGCAGGGCAGCGCTCCTCCTCCGCGGACGCCGTGCAGCTATCACGCCTTGAACGCTACCCTTGGTTTCCCCAGGGCCAAATGGGCCTTTTTCTTTTTTATTGCCTTTTTTTTTTTTTTTTACCTCCCCTATGGGGAGCGCTCCGTAAAGGCTGGACGGGGTTGGAGTCTCCGAGCGCAAGCTCTGCTTGCACACTGTGCATCCCAAGGCTCAGCCAAACCTCAGCGCCCAAATCCAGCCCTTCATGGTGCCCTGTAGGCTCTGACATGTCTTGAAGCCCCAGTGGGCTTCCAGAGAGAGGGTTTGGTCCTTTCAGACCTTGGCTCCGCTCGCTCCACATTGGCATTTCCGTTAGCGCTAATGAGCAGATCGCTGACTATGAGACTAAGGACAGGTTGGTATCTATCTGGCTTAATTTCAATTTATAGACTACCTGGAATAACGCGGATTTTTTTGCTTTTCCTTGCATTTAAAGAGACACTGTCAACTACTGTCAGGCCCAAGGGAGTGATGAAAAAAGTTTCTGGATAAACTAAATCTCAGTCTTAATGCTTTTTTAGGGGGGGGGAGGAGCTGGAGGAGGCTTAAGCATGCTTCCCGCAGGCCTACAACTTCAATCAATCATGCTGTGCTAATTGGAGAGAACTGAAAAGCAAAACTGTAACAGAACGAGCAACTGACCAGTTTATTTCTAAGCTGCATTAATTGGAGAACAACAAGCGCAAATGAGTATGATGAATGATGCGAAACAAATTGGAAACAAAATTCTGTGATCCCGCTTAGTGGAAGGAGGGGGGGATCTCAAGATTCGTTCCAGCCTTAAAAAAAGAATCCCCTCCCCAGACCCCCAACCCCAACCCCCCAAATGCATTCAGTTTTAATAAGCTAAGGTGCTATTACAGAAGAAAAATCAGTCTCTAAAAATAATGAGCTGTATGTTTACAGTGTCCCTTTAACACTATAGTCTTGATATGATTTTTGTAAATAAATAACAGAATAGAAATGCAATTTTTTTTTTGTGGGGACTTTTTTGTTGGTGGTATTTTTTTTTTTTTTTAGTGTCGTGCTATTTGAAGTTTCCTTGGCAATAAGCCTGTTCAAAGATTTCTCAAAAAAGGGACTAACAGTTGGCTTGTGAATCATTAAATAATTCCACTCCCCGCTCCCTTGCTGGAATTTTCCCTCCCCCCTCCCACTGGAATATCCATCTCGCCATGCCAGGTGTGGAGAGTACTGAAGGTCTTGAAAAAGAAATAAAATAAAGTTGAAAGTACCTATTTCAAATTTCAACAACTGACTTTTTTAAAAGCATTGTTACTGCAATGGAACAGCTTCATGTTCAGTCTTTGCTTTAGTTAAACATTTTAATTGGGCTGTGGAAATGGAGCTAGGGTGTTTCACCCAAGCTAAATCAATGGCTAACGTACAACTCGAATGAGAAATGTACAATTTGAACTGACCATTTAAAGAGACGATTTGTCACACACAGTTTGCATCCATGCAGACTGAGAGCTTTATAATTACATTATGTACAAAAAAATTTTTTTTTAGTTTATTAAGGCAACCACAACTTGGAGAACATGTCCAAAGTGGCATTAATACAATTGCAGTGGTGATACCCTTTGAACATTTTTATTTTTATTTTTCAGATAAGAACACTTATTCCTTTTCTTTTTTAAGAAATAATTGCCAAGAAAGAACCTATTTTCCATAGGGTTTTGTTTTCTATTTTTTTTAAAACAATCTACTTTAGCTATTTTCTTTAACAGAACATATCAAGGCATTGCTACCCAATGCAAATAATTCAGATCCTGGGTTTCCCATCAATTTCGCTGGGAACTGCAGGTGGTAAGAACTGGTAGGTTTGGGCCCTGTCTTTTTACTCTGTTTTTTTCTGTCCTATTTTTTTCTTTTCTCCTTTTTCTTTTTATTTTTTGGTGGTTTTGTCCATGTTTGCTATAACTCTATTCCCCAGAAGTGCCTTGCTGTTCTTGACTCATATGTACCGAGCATCAAAACAACTTGGTTGACAGATGACCCCTCTTTCACATGCCATTGAAAACGCCAAGTTGCTTCATAGAAACGTGCTATCATAACTGAATATCCATGTACACCTTATTTGAAATGCTATGATATTCCATCGTTTCTTGGGATAAGCACTCGGAATGAGTGCGTATGCATGTAAGGCTCTACTCTTCTATTGCCTATATTGCAGCTAGTTGTAACTAGGCAAGTAAATGAGAAAAAAAATATAGATATAGTTCTAGCAGGAGTCAGGCATTGTGGGTAATGCTGCCCCAAAGCCTGGTAGGTATATAAAACTGGAAAAAAAAAAAAAAAACCAAACAGATTATAACCAAGATCACAGTTGAGAAAATTACATTTTTTGTTGTTTTTTTTCCTTTTTTTTTTTTACAGTGATTTCTACTATGGTATGGTTACTCTTAGTTTCACCTGGCCCACCAAACAGAATCAGAGTTGAGCATGCAGCTCTAACGACGACGTTCAGCTTACTGCGCGGACGACTTCCCGCTTCAGGGTACGGTATGAGAACAGCAATGCTGAGATGCAGGTTAGTTTTTGGAAATTCAGCAAAGTAGATGGTCTCGCTAACTTTGACACCCTCCCCGCCCTCCGTGCCCCCACCCATCCAACCCCCACCCTAGGTGCCGAGCAGACCGCGCGCCTTCAGTCCTGGAGCGCCCCACGCTCGACGGGATGCCTTGGCGTTAGGGAAGGCCTTCGCTCTCGCTCCCTCTGCCTTTCCGATGCCGTTTCACCTTCACGTCCTCCTCCTCCTCCTGCGGGGACTTGCTTTTCCTCTTCCCGACTCGCGGCGTCCGAGGCGGAGGTAGGGGAGGAGGAGGAGGGGGAGGCGGGAGGGGAGGGGGGAGGAGGGGGGGGTCTCGAGCCATGTGTATGACAGCCTCGATGGTGGCCATGATTGTATCTTGGGTGGCTGCTTGCTCCAATAGTAAAGGATTCAGTGTAGGTCTCTGGCCTCTTTTGCTGGGAAGGTCAACGCATTTTTCCAGAACGGGCATTTGGTCTCTGGAGTCTTCGTCGAATGAGAGAGGTTGCTTCCGGGGACGCCCTCTCCTTTTCTTGACGAAGTTATTGCCTGTCTTTGATTGTCTCTGCAGCCGCTTGGCTTTCAGGATTTTGTTCACATGATCCAGGTTCTTTTTCGTGGACAGGATCTTGGTGTAGTTACACATCTTGCGCACCTCACACTGGATTGCTTCGATTTCACGGCGCTTGAACCTTTTTTTCAGCGGTGGGCTGGCTGTTGGGAGACAAGGGCAGAAACGTGAATGGATAAGACAAAAGCGAATGGACACCATCCTTCTCCCACTGTTAGCACCACCAAGACTAGATGCTTTTAAGTCTTGTAGCCTAAATAGGAGCATTAAGACTGAAGAAACAATGGCCGTGCGACAGGACTCTTCACAGAAAAGTAAATTAAAAAATGAAAAGATTATTTACTGCAACGACAGTCCCAGAAGAATTGCTATTACTTCCTTTTTTACTAGCCTAGATGAAAACACTTGCAACTTTGACTATTAAGCAGTCCTCAGAGATCTCTCTGTGGCTCTCTCCTCTTCTAAAGCAACTAAATTTTTCTACGGCAACATTTTATTATGGGTTTCCTCACTGCCTCATTTCTAAACCTCCAGTGGGAGGGAAGAAAGGGCTGCTTAATGTAGGTGTCATATTGGCTTACCAGACTCGCTATTAAACTTTGTATACCCCACATATAAATTCTGGACGTCCTCCCCTTGGTCCTTAACGCTCAACATGGACGTCAGTTAGTACAAAAAGGTTTTCTTACTGAAACGAGTGGACACAGACAAGCTCCGTGGCTCACCTCACCTGTGGCAAATTCATTGCCCCTTCTTGGGTTTCTTTAATATCATCTCCGCAGATACTAGCTGAAACTACTCAGTCATATAATTGACTTTAATGGCCTCCAAAGTAAGCTTACTCCTGATTCAGATCACTGTAGTTGAGATCTGAATGAAGTCCAAAGTAGTTAAGTCTTCTGCCAAGGTCACGTCGTGAGTCATTGTCAGAGCTGGAAAGAGAACCCAGCAGTTCTTGGCTCCTGGTGCTTTGCTTAGGACACGAGACCTTGCTTGTTTTTCTTAAATTGTTTAATTGTTCTTTACTGAACGTGGCATCTGTTCAGAGTTCAGGATCTGCACATGGATTAGAAGTAACTACCCCTTTGTGAGAGAAAAGGACTGTATTAATTCTGCTGTTGCAATAACTGGTGCTCCCTTTCACTCCTAACATATCCGTTCTGCACTGCTGGAAAAGAAATGATGGAGTTCAGAATTTCTTTTCAGTAAAGAATAAAACATCCCACTAAATTAACCTCAGCCCACATCTACTTGCAAACTTAATTTACACCTGACTGTCAAGCAGTCATTTGGGTTTGAAATCCTTGAAGTTTCCGGAGCAGCCAAGATTTCGAGAAAGGTTCATTTGGGGGTTATCACTCCCTTCATGGCTAACAGCCCAATCTTCTAGCAGTAGTTTAAAATAAAGTTGCTATTGTAGCATTTTCTGTAGATAACCAGGAGCTGTCAAGTGGCAGAATCTCTCCTTGCTCACTATGGGATATGACAGTTTCAGCATACAAACCTCATTCACTGTCCTCCCCTTTCGGAGAACATAAATTATTGGCTCTTATACCACCATGTTGCTTGGATTCAGCAAAGAGCTTGCATAAACAAACCCAAGTTACAATGCAAGAAGTAGGAGTGAGTCATAAACAAAACACAGACATATGCTCTCTTATAAATAAAGACCTGGATGGCCAACTTCCCAAAGTCTGGTTTTCATTAATTACAAAACAAAATACATTTTCCATATGTAACCTACTCCCCACACCAAAAAGAAAAATAAAACCCATTTATAGTTTGTGATTCACAGAAGACAAAAGAAAAGAGAAAAGCAGTCATTTTGGTACCAAAGAAAAGGCAAAAGGAAATGAAATATTGAAATTGCTAGAGATAATCTAATTAGTTGCACAAAACTCCTCTCAAGTAGGTCACCCCTAAAAAGTGTTGATTTAAGAGCCCTAAGGGCAAGTGGCAGTGAGTGAGTTATTTCTCAGTCATCTGATCAAAAAGGTTAGATCCCTGTCACACAAAACAATTACTTTCATCCGGCCTCACTGCTGATTGATTGACATATATTTTCCCAATATTTCCAGCTCTAAGCATTCAACTCCTTTGCGTCACACCTCTCTCAACCCTTCTCTAGTCCTAAGAGTGGCTTCAGGTCATGAGATTTTAAGAAATCAAACACTTTGCACACCCCTCGTATTTGCTGTCCGCATTTTGCCTTTCATGGCTACATTCAGGGCACATTTTCAAGATTTCCTTTGCAAAACCCATATGTTCAAGAGGCAATTTTTTTGCAGAAACCAAAATCGAAAAATTTCAGCTCATGGTGGAATCTGGAATGTGAGAAAAAACAATACAAATTGCAAGGTCCATGGTGAAATCAAGAGATTCTGCATTAATCTTGTTTTTCAATACAAAGAAAGTAAGCCAAAGGACAGGAAATTAATCTGAAAAAAAAAAAAAACACTAGCCAAGTATTCTGCAAAGATTTTATGTCTTTACTGAGTTCTATCACTATCTGCTATTTCTGCAGCTCAGCATCAACATCCCATTGCAGTCAGTGGAGATCTAGTCAGTATGGGCTTGTTTTTCTAAAGTAGGAGCCTTTCGAGATGACCATGGGAACCCTTCTGAGACCTGGAGACTGGACAAGGAGGGTGCGAGTCTCCTGTAAATCCTGCGTCCTATCCACCAGCCCCGAAGGGTGTCTTGGACACCCAAATGGTCCAAGGCACCCAGGCTTGGCAAACTGAATGGAGCCCAACAGCAGGTAAACAGTGACCATGCTGTGTGGACGTAGGTGTTTGCTTTCTGCTGAAATGCCTAGCTCTCCAAGATTAACTAATACGAAGAGAGTTATGGGTAGATGCCTACAATTAGATGTAAATCTATGAACTCAATACCAGTAGCAGTGTCTTCTGGCATGATGTTTACATACTGTGCCCTTTTATAACCTAGCAAGCAGGCATCCCCTTCCCCTTTGGACTGAAACTTATCTTCTCAGTTAGGAAGAAGTTGCTCTGTGCTGGCTTACCACACTAATTTTTCTTTTGTAAATGCTTTGGAGTGTTTATTACTTTCTCAGGAAGCTTGTTAGAAACTACTAATATTGTTTTTGCCTTTCTCCCTAGTAAGCCTCTGAACTCACAACTTTTAGAAAATATTTGAGCTGTGTTACATATTCTGTCAATGGTCAGAACATGTCTTGAATAATTAATATGCTTTATATCCAGCTTTTTTGAAGGAAATGTTTGGAAAGCCAGTATTACTATTTTGCATTATAGTCAGGGACATCGGATTCTACATTTGGAACGGAGAGACTGTGTGGAAAGGAGTCTGATGCGTCTGCAGGGGGAAGATTTGATGAGGTGTGCATATGACAAAATATCAGTGAGATCTGCCAAAATAAACCACTATTAGAGTGAGAGCCATTAGGTGTTATCAACTCATCTGGAAGCTCTTGGTGAGCAATCTTTGATACAAAATATTTTGCTGTATTGCCATGTGATATACTGCTCAGCTTAAAATCAAACCTGAGTACTAAGCTTTCCAATTTTACTCAGGCAGATCGTGCCCAACTCTGGACCCTAGTTTATCTTCATCACTTTTAGACTTCATTGCTCTCCTGCAGCTACTTTACATTTTGCACATGGAAGCCTTGATGTGGGAGGAAGACTTTCGTCTTGCTCTGTCCAGTGGAAGTCATCTAGCGAGGGCTGAAGAGGAGGCGAGGAACAGTAACGCCACATCCGTGCACAGGCAGATGAGGAGGGAGTACGCTCCTAAAGAGAAGATACAACAAGACGGCAGCCTCTGTATAATGGAGAGTGTGTGGCGGGGGGACGGTGCTGCATGGGCGCAGCTATCTCCCTACGCTTCCCCAGGCTGCAGGGCCGTGCATTGCCTCCATGAAGGCCTGACACTACTTGGCACAATCTGGCCCAAAGTGAACAGAGATTGCAACTACTTGAAGCTGCACAGGCACAATAAGAGCTTGTCTGAACCTTCACTTGCTCTGTGACTGTTCCCAACTGTGGATGTCTACCTACTCACAGTGATCAGGCCATTTCTTCTCAACGCAGCTGCATATAGAGACAGCTTGAATTTGACACCGCAGAGAGGTGCGGGAAGAGACACCTTCTCGTCTTCCCACCACAGGACCTGCCTGGAGACTTGGAAGGACAGAGAGGAGCAAGCCATAACCTCAAAATCCAAGACTGTGGAAAAAAGCAGTCAGAGCTCAGCAAAAGGAAGAACTCAACTGTCAGTGAAAGGCTGTCAGGAGACAAATGCCTCCTGATTTTCCTCTTCCTCCACACAGAGGACCCTTTCTGGAGGAGATCTTTCTCTGAGCTCTCCAGAGAGCATTGGGAGAGGGAAGAAGTCTGCCTCCCAAGACACCGGTAATTCAGATAAGCCTCAGCAGTTCGGGACTGCTATCTGCTAACAGCTGTGTGAGGCTTGCCCTCTGCTATTAGACACGCACACTGCGGTACCCTCTGCAAACGCTGCGTCTCGAGCGCAGGCTGTGAAAACAAACCGCAGAGTTACACGCCGGCACTGCACTCTGCCGCTGCTGCTTTCTCTCCAGCCAAGCCTTGGCGCTTTCCCTCCATCCTTTCCCCGCTCTCCATACACAAACAACCTCACCTAGCCACCTCAAGTAAGTCACAAGCATTGCAAATAAACCAGCAGGAACTAACTTTAAAAAAACAGCCTTACATATTTAAAATAAGGTACATGAAGGACTGGAGTTTCTCCCCTCCCCGGGGTACATAACGCAGTGTTGCTCCGTCTCACAGCCGGAGAAAAATGGAAATGACTGCAGACCACGCCGGGAAGTCCCAGAGGATTAATAAGACGCAGGAAATAGCTTCTGAGGCAAAGAGAGAAAGCTCGACCGAACCTATACATTTCCAACGGCGGTTTAAAGCAGGCCGAATGACCTACTGCAGCATAGTGTTGCTAAAGGAGGAGGCAAGCCCAGGCAGATCACACTGCTTGGAGGTTCTCCATTAGTATCCCCTAACATTATTCGGGAAGGCTTTGGTATATCCGTGGCAGGAGAGATCAATCTTCCTGCCTGTCATTCTAGATCCCTTCGGAGGTGCCTGAGGCCACTCACCAGAGCACTGTACAGAGAAGACCGTTTGCTCAACAGCTGGGCTCGGTTTGTCGACTTGGTTTCGACGGAGAAATTTTCAAAGAGCTCCCCATTAATTACAGGAAACCCGTAGCACTGTCCTGTTTTCCCATTAACACAGTTTCGCTCAGTTTTCACTAAATTATTTCCACATCTGGGCTACAGATAAACCAACAATTTAATTAGCCTTCTGAAAATGGAAAGAATGAACTATGCAGTCAAGCATATACTTTCATCTTGAAACTGATCATAAAAAATTTCTGCGCTTCCATTCTCCGCTGCATTAAAATTCTGTCCTTAGTTTATATATAGAAAAGTATTAGAGGTTAAATGGAGACTCCTGATTTTTCTTACATAAAAATTTATCTTTAGAGAAGCAACTTTACAGCATGGATCCCTTGTTTTCACTATTTATTCAGGAGACTAGAGGAAAATCAAAAGGAATACACTGAAACAGCACTTCCAGTCACATAATTAAACATGCTCTCATATCACTCTGTGATACAAGTAAATTTTTGGTGAATGTGGAGTCAGACGTTTGAAATGACCAGGAAACTCCTAATGGGTGGACGCAGGGTAACGTACTGAAGATTCCCCATTCACTGGAAATTAAGACACAACGCAAGATTAACTTCTTTATCCAGGCTGAGAAAAGGCACGGCGATGACTGAATAACTTGACTCAATTTCTGACCGTATAAAGCTATCAGTTTTCTGATCTGATTCAAAATAAAAGCATAAAACAGAAGTTGATTGAAAAACATGTTACTCTGACTTATTTATTCCAATATATTTTAAACCACAGTTCATTGCACCAGACAATTTCACATTTGCAGGACAGAATATTATGCTAAAATCACTGAAGTATACAACAAGAAATCTCATCTGCTCTTTAGATATTCACTGTGTTTTCAGCATGTTCATACTACAGGGATGGGGACATTCAAAAAAAAAGAACAGGCCTCAGAAGAGCACTCACGAGTTATAGTCCCCTGCTAGACTCTACGCCTTGCTCCTTTTGCCCTTATTATTGCACAAATGGTAGTAGTATACGCATGAAATAGATTTGATATGCCAAGATATCATCATGATAACAAAATACTAGAAAAATTACAGCCTGATTATCACATCAGATATGCACAATTGCAACTACTACTCAGATCAGGAAGAGCTGTACAAGCATGCATGGAGTCCCGAAGGAAGAAGATGAAGAATAAATAGAGGGGATGGAGGAAAACAACATTACCTGCTTCAGATGTTGCTGATGATGAAGGTAAGAGAGATAATACTGGAGTTGGCATTGCAACACTGTCAACAGCTGCTGGTTTCCTTCTGGTCATCATGTTACAGGCAGAACTTTCCATTTTACTATGCAGTGAAGTCTGATCTGCTTTTAAGTGGGGACCTGAAATTCCTGGGGAAAGAAACAAAATTTGGATGAACCCTGACGAAGTAACCTAGCTAGAGAATATCTGCAAACGGGTAACCAGTTCCAGTGTTTGCTGTCCCGATATATTTCCATATTTCCCAGTATATGTGCTTGGAATGTGGTCTTGATACTAGCAAGGATCATGGGTTTTGTTTGCTTTTAATAGTTTTGCTTCAGGATGTACCATCACTGATCTCTAAAAACAATGGTAAACCAACACAGTAATTCCACACGACTGCTTTTTCTTCTCAGAGTAAACACACACACACATACACACACATATGTATACAGACAGACATGCTTCATATCTCTATTCAGTCGCATTGTCTATTTATCATTCCCTGGGCAGTGTATTCTCCACACACTTACATACTTCTCTACTTACATACTACTCTACAGTCACTTGACTCAGTGGGTGTTTTGTCTGAGTAAGGACCAGGCATCAGAAACAGCCTGAGCATGTAATTCTCTATCTAAAGCACACTGCACTTTTACTTGTTCTTTAGGAATCCCCTTCCTAATGAAAATTTACCTTGCAAGTCATCAAAGAGGTGGGAGCATATGAAAAAGAAAGAAAAATACCTTTGTGATACACTTCTCTAGCAACAGATTCTGAAGGAATCAGAATTATTCTCACATGGACTACAGCATGGAACAAGTGAGAGTGGTAGAAATACTCCAAAGAGATCACATGTTTCAGAAAAATAATGGTTATGCAAGAAGGGCTGGTAGATTCCTTCCTTGGAAAAGTTTCTCAAACCTTGTCATGATTTGAACCTATTTTGTTTGCTTGTAAATGTGTCAGATTCCAACTGCTTAGGTTGAAATTTTACATATTAGATAGCCAGCTCTGTCTGATATATCTGAAAGTGCATCCAGCCATTTATATATAATGTGTGTATGTGTGTGTGTGTGTGTGTGTGTGTGTGTGTGTGTGTGTGTATACATATTGCATGTACATATGTAAGTACAGGAATTTACCAAGTGGAAAGGCAGCCAAAATGGCTCAGTCATTTTTTACAATAAAGCTGGGATTTTTGCCCTTTTTAGAAAATGCCTAGCAGCTGCTTCTTTATGAAATTCCGGTAGCCCTTACTCTGCTAACTTATGAAAACTTGCTCCCAGTTTCTGCTATGCTGGGCTTCAACATATCTGGGGCAGTCATTTATTTTTCAAAGGCAAACCCTCACAAACTGCTTATCCTTTCAAAACTCAGCCTGCACTCGGATCTCAAAGATATATTAGATTTAAGCAATTAAACTAAACTACATGACACAGAACCCCAGAATGGCTGAGGGTGGAAGGGACCTCTGGGGGATCCTGGCCCCTGCTCAAGCAGGGTCAGCGAAAGCAAGCTGCCCAGGACCGTGTCCAGCTGCGTTTTGCCTATCTCCAAGGATGGAGATTGCACAGTCTCTCTGGATAACCTGTTCCAGTGGTAAACCACCCTCAGAGTAAAAAAGTGTTTTTTTCTTATGATTAAATGGAATTTACTATATTTAAATTTGTGCTCATTGCCTCTTGTTCTGCCACTGGAGACCACTGAGAAGAGTCTGGCTCCATCTGCTTTACTCCCTCCCATCAGATATTTATACACATGGATAAGATCCTCCAGAGTTTTCTCTAGGCTAAACAGTTCCAGCTCTCTCAGCTTCCTCTTGTAGCCCTTAATCATCTTCGTGGCCCTCCGCTGGACTCGCTCCAAGGATGTCCATGTCTCTCTTGCACTAAGAAGCTCAGAACTGGGTATAGCAGTCTAAGTGTGGCCTCACCAGGGCTGAGAAGAGGGGAAGGATCACCTCCCTCGACCTGCTGGCAACACTCTGCCTAATGCATCAGGACACAACTGGCCTTTGCTGCAAGGGCGTGCTGCTGGCTCATGGTCAAATTTGTGTCCACCAGAACTCCCAGGTCCTTCTCCTCAAAGCTGCTTTCCAGCAGATCAGCCGCCAGCCTGTAGTGGTGCATGGGGTTATTCCTCCGTAGGGGTAGGACTTTGCACTTCCCTTCGTTGAACTTCATGAGGTGCCCCTCTGCCCATTCCTCCACCTGCTGAGGTCCTCTGAATGGCAGCACAATCCTCTGGTGTATCAGCCACTCCTCCCAGTTTTGTAGCATCCGCAAACTTGCTGAGGGTGCATTTGATCCCATCACTCAGGCCACTAATGGAGATGTACTTGTAGCCTTTCTTGTTGCCCTTCACGCTCCTCACCAGATTCAGCTCCAGGCTTTGGCTTTCCTAACCCCATTTCTGCACACTTGGACAGTATCTCTCTATTTCTTCTGAGTCACCTGTCCCTGCTTTCTCCTCTTGTACACTTCCTTTTCATGTTTTGTCAGGAGCTGCTTGCTCGTTAATGAAGGCCTCCTGCTGCCTTCGCTTGTTTGCCTTCTGCTTGGGACGGACCATTCCTGAGCTTGGAGGAAATGATCCTTGAATATCAGTCAGCTCTCCTGGACCACTCTTCTCCACAGGATAGTCTCCCATGCCTTCTTTCAAGAACGTCCCTGAAGAGGTGGAAGTCTGCTCTCCTGAAGTTCAGTGTTGTGATTCTGCTATTTGCCTTGTTCCTGCCTCTCAGGACCCTCAGCTTCACCATCTCACAGTCAATGCAGCTAAGACTGCCCCTGACCTTCACGCTTCTGAACAGCACTTCCCTGTGTGTAAGTACAAGGTCCAGCAGAGCACCTCTTCTTATTGGCTCCTTGATCATTTGTGTCAGGAAGTTGTCATCAATACACTCCAGAAACCTCCTGGTTTTGTCTGTGCCCTGCAGTAGTTTTGTCCTTCCAGCAGATATCGGGGTGGTGGAAGTCTCCCATGAGGACTTGAAGGTGAGGCTTCTTCTGCTTGCCTGAAGAAGGCCTCATCTACTTCTTCCTGATCAGATGGTCAATAGCAGACACCAGCCATGTTGACCATATTGGTCCACCCATTAATCCTGACCTATAAACTCTCAAAAAGCACCTCACCTGTCCCTCAGCAGACCTCCCTGCATTCCAGCTGCTCTGTCAAATAAATAGCAACTGTCCCTCCTCTCCTTCCCAGTCTATCCTTCCTAAAAAGCCTGTATCCATCCATTACAGCATTCATAGCCCTGCAAGTGCCCAGAGACTTCTAATTCCTCGTTTGTGTGCATTCCATGCTGTGTGCATTAGCGTACAGGCACTTTGAAGTGGCTCCCAGTCGTGATAATTTCCCAGAAAAGGTATGAGAGCTTCCCCATAATGCTGTCCTGGATGTGCTTCCTTATTTGTGTGCATATGCTGAAAGTGGGCCCTTTTCAGCTCTGTTTTGTTATTTAGGAAGTCTCTCCCGCCTACCTAATCCTGCACCCTTTGATTGCTAGCCTGGTCCACCACTTTCTCGCCTGAGTGTGGGCCATCATCTCCCTCCTCTGTTGTTTCTAGTTTAAAACTTTCCTCACCAGGTTGTCCAACCCGTTAGCAAAGACACTTCTGCCCTCACTTAGTCAGGTGGATCCTGTCTCTTCCTAGCAGTCTTCAGACCTCACAGGGGGTCCCATGGTCATAAAAAACAAATCCCTGCTGCCAACACCAGCTGTGCAACCAATCATTGACCCACAGGATCCACATCCACTCCTCCTCAAGCTCTTCCCCCTCGCCAGCAGGACTGAGGAAAAAAACTACTCGGGTCCTACTGTCCTTGGCCATCACCCTCAGAGCCATATAGTCCTTCATGATATGTTCCAGCTCTCCTCTCTCCTCTGGCCAGACAAGCCTCCGTCGAGGCCTCTGATGTACCAAAGGCAGCTGCTCCAGTCGGTGCTGGGGACTGGGCCCTGTGAGGTGTCACCACCATTGCTGAGGATGTTCATGCTGCACTG